TATATGAATTTGTTGACAAAGTGATAATGAATCATAATATGATATTATAAACGGGGTGTTACATTTGAAAAATCAAAGAAGCCGCCACTTTATAGTAGAAGCGACAACGCCGCTTCGTCTAAAATATTTTAGGCGTGTAGGTCATATTGACTTATGCTTATTGTGTAATTTTCAGGATGATCCGTTGAATAGTTTGCCAGAAACGGCTAATTAACGCTCATCATGAAAAGCCCTGTATTATATATCGTAGATATATAAATTATACTTCAAACGATATCTTATTTGGAAAGAGAGATAATAATTCATTCATTCTACCAAAGATGTAGTCGCTTAGGAAATATTGACCACAATTATAATACAACGACAACAAAAGGAAACATCCAAAACTATTGGTCAGAGAGGATATACTTATTTAAGCACGATAATATTCAACAATATCCCTAGGAATATCAAAGACTCAACATCAATTGTTTTATCTAAAAAAAGCAGTACCTTCACGAAACAGAGAGGAAAAAAATATATAATCTGATAGACCCGAATAGAATTCCCTGTGGTAATATTCATTGAAAGATAGGAAAACTATGCACTGACACAAAAAATGGTGCAGATACACATTGGTGCACAACTTTTAACAAATTATTCACTGTAAGTTATTATCATTCCATTATTTTGTTGGAGTAGTACAGGATATCATTATTATTATTCGGTTGGTTTGTGTAAGTGTAGATATTATTTTCAAACAATTACACTAAATTTTGTTAGAAAATGAAACATACCATTAACACGCGCTGGCTTCTTAGCCTTAGTGTTTTTAGCCTTTGTTTATTTCAAAATGCAATTTTTGTAGGGTATAATGTTATTCAACTTCCTGCATGTAAATCTACTCTAACAACTTGTTATTGGTAAGATTGTACCTTTTTTCTTTGTAAATAAACAGTATTATTATCACATAATCAACAAAAAATAACAGATAGATGTTTTGTTCCAGTAGGTGAGGCCTTTCAGACGGGAAACACGACGAACAGGAAAATTGGTACAAAATTTGAAGATTTTTAAAATTGGTTGACAGAAATTTATGTTAGAAATATTAGTAATAATCCTCAATAGACGTTTCTGCACTATAAATATATCAGGTACTCGATGAAAAAGATAATAATGATGTAGATAATGTACCTACTGAAAACTAAGGAAATTATTCGGAAGGTCCTAGATGACAGTCACCACACCACTCTCCTCAGCAATCTACGATATTGATCAGATAAAAAAATAATAAAATGAAATCGTTGGGCGTAGCGTAAGCTGAGTAATTATGTACGCCCAACACTACGCCCAACGATTCAACTATTTTTTTATCTGATCGATACCGTAAGTATACTACTATTCTACTAGCCCTCTCATTTGATACCCATATTAAGGTAGTTGTCATCAAAACTGGATTACACCAATATTTCTTAATCATGCATCTGCTGACATAATCCGCAGAGATATACATGATGAATTCAGAATGAAAATGTGTTATGATTTTGTGACAATACCAATTGTTCAATTTTGATGTAAATGTATACAAGAATGAAGAATGATACTTCAAAATCATTTTTGCATCACCATTACAACTAATGAGAGTAATAATTGCGACAAAAACTGGGTCAAGATCAATATCCTAGCCATAACGCATAACTGAGCTAATTCTGATAGATAATTCAGTGAAAGTAATTTCGGTATAATGTGGAAGAAATACCCCTGAGGCAATATCTGATGCATATAAAAACCGCCCAGACAGAAAAACGGACACACTTCAATAGAACTAGTCAACATGGCATTCAAAGTAAGTACCCTAAAAACATTCTAATACAAAATATGAATACAGTCACTATTATTGAAAGTTGACTTTGATGCGATGTCGTGTTGGCAATTTTGAAAACTCTCTAACTACATCAGATGACTGACTTATCGTGTCAACATTCGTCACTTATATTGAATATTTTAATTTCAAATTATGATTTGTTGCTTTGTTTCAGTTTGTTGTATTCACCGCATTCGTTGCTGTAGCTCGTGCTGGTGTCCTTTCAGGATACGCCGCCCCCTTGAGCTACGCCGCCCCAGCTGTAGCTAAAGTAGCTTACTCTGCTGCCCCTGCTGTCTCATATTCTAGCGTATCAGCCCCAGTAGCCTCCTATGCCAAAGTTGCTGCACCAGTCGCCTACTCTGCTCCAGCCTACTCCCACGCCGCTCCAGTCTACTCCCACGCCGCTCCAGTATACTCCCATGCCGCTCCAGCTTACTCCTACGCCGCTCCAGCTGTGAAAGTAGCCGCCCCAGTTGCCTATGCCGCCCCCATTGCCAAGACCATCGTTGCTGAGGCTCCAGCCAACTATAATTTCGGCTATTCCGTCAATGACCCCCACACCGGAGACAGCAAAAGCCAACAAGAATCAAACGACAACGGTGTTGTCCACGGAAGCTACTCCCTCGTTGAAGCTGACGGATCCAGACGTATCGTTGAATACACCGCTGATGACCACAACGGTTTCAACGCTGTTGTACACAAGGAACCAGGTGCAGTAGCTGTCAAAGCTGTAGCTCCGGTTGTTGCCAAAGTAGCTGCTCCTCTTGCTTACGCTGCTCCAGTTGCCCACGCCTATGCTGCCCCATTAGCTCACGGATATGCTTCCCCAGTATACCACCACTAAACCTGAATCGTGTTCTATGTTAATCTTTGTATATAAGCTTATTTATTGCAAATAAAGACTGTTGTGCTGCGACTTCTTGTTTTAATGTTTCAAATATAATTGTGACATTTTTTTAATCATTGGTTGAACATAAAACGCCTAAGCAGTGATTTAAAATGTTGGTGAAGTTGAAATAAGTTTCCAATCTACTTAAAACGTGTGGTGATATCGTAATTGTCGAATAAGATTGACATTTATAGTGGTTGCCAAAGTAGCTGCTCCTCTTGCTTACGCTGCTCCAGTTGCCCACGCCTATGCTGCCCCATTAGCTCACGGATATGCTTCCCCAGTATACCACCACTAATCGTGAATCGTGTTCTATGTTAATCTTTGTAAATAAGCTTATTTATTGCAAATAAAGACTGTTGTGCTGCGACTTCTCGTTTTAATGTTTCAAATATAATTGTGACATTTTTTCAATCATTGGTTGAACATAAAACGCCTAAGCAGTGATTAAAAATGTTGGTGGAGTTGAAATAAGTTTCCAATCTACTTAAAACGTGTGGTGATATCGTAATTGTCGAATAAGATTGACATTTATCGAGTTGAGATCCCATACCTGAAACCAAATCAGGCACATTTTTGATATTTCGAAAGTATTACAATTTTTCTGGATGGTTATAGTGCTGTAGAAATGATGATACAGGTAAAACTGCAATTTTTAAAATTTTTTCAGATACAAGAAAGTAACATTGGATGAAAAATTCCTCTAGTGTATTGGTTGTGCCAAGGAATATAAAAAACAGACAATTTCCAGAATTAGTTTTGATTTCTGAAACATTTTTGTACTTTCATATTTGAAATCAGAAACCTTTCGAAGCGGTCACAGATTTTTTCATTTGAACAATGTGTATGATATTTATATGAAAAACTCAGTCTTGCAGGAATTGTTTCTGAAAAAATTCTTCTTATATCAATTTACATAACAACAGTACTACGAATAATCACATAATAACTATGGCACCAACATTAGAGATGTTTTTGATGGAAGATATGTTAATGGAACTACAGCGTCTGACAGAATCGTTGTTATATAAATTATAGTGAAATCGTTGCTGAGGCTCCAACGAACACAGTTGCTCACGCTTATGCCGCCTCACAAGAAGACGTCCACAAGTGCAATCAGTATAATAACATCAGAACTGAAGAAGCCCAAAAAGAATGAACCAATTGAAGTAATAACTACGCTTAAGTGTACTATTATCCAACTAGCCCTCTCATTTGATACCCGTATTGAGGTAGTTGTCATCAAAACTAAATGTGTGTACTGAATATCAGATCAATCTGTTAACAGGAAAGGGGTCAAACTTCAATTACTCAATTCGAACCAAACAATCAAACAGAACAAGCTGAATAAAACCGTTTAAAAACACTATATAACGCAACCGATAGGCAACATGGAAATGATACAGGATTCAAAATGAATTTTGTCTCAAGACATATCAAATTTCTGAACATGTAACACATATAATTTAGTTGAAAGATCAAATTGGAACAATGTTCCTCCTGAATTGAATATCCACCTGCAAATACCTACCCCCAGAAATTTTACCTAATGGCTTCGTTCTATAAAAAGATCACTAATATGTATATTCGGGATTGGGCAACTTTTCTGGTAATTGTAGAGTCGAATCAATTTAGTTTTCTCGCTGTTGGTGTGAAGAGAATAAAAATTACATGAAACTAGATTACAATTAACAAATGTACTTTGATTCAGAGAATCCCCAAGTTCATTACAAATAGGAACAGTACTATCATTTGTATAAAACTAAAAAAAATTGCCCCAGAACAGACTCTTGAGGAATGCCCATAGATGTAATCCGATTATTTGGTTCGATTTTCGATATATTTGCATATTGCTTTCTTTACATTAGGACACTTTTTTTCGTGAGCAACTCCACGAGAGCCACAGGAGTACAATTTAGACGGAAATAGTCAAAAAAGGACATTACAGTACTTTGTGTTGATTTTCCAGAAAAGAAAATGAGCTGGTTATTTGAAAAAAATGCAATGAATGAAGAAAACTCGCCTCCTAAGGAAAATTTTCAAAAAACAGCTGAATGCTGCTCCATTTTGATTGGATTTCAAAAGTTACATCATTGGTTTTGGGAAGTTACTTTTGTACCAATTCCATTTTTCGAAAGGTGTTATTATTTTTCACATACAGTCAGTCGGCATACTTGAAGACTGGCTATAAATCAAATCATTTAAAGGAACTATTCGTTCAAGCCAGTCTCAACTCCCTTCACTGTCGGTTGATGGACTGACACCTATCATAAAAGAACTAGTCCCCTGGCTAATACCAGGAAGGGCAATGCATTATATACGACATGTGTCAGTGCAGGATTCTTCACTGAAGTTATTCCTGCATATGCTGTTGGCGATACAACTGCAGCAATAGAATTTCAATTATTGGAACACACTTGCAGACCGGTTTCGGGCTGTTTGGCCACTCGTCAGTGCAAGGTAGTGTATATCATCAACATAAAGTCGATGATTTCCGATAATTGAAAATCGAATTATTTCAGGGTATCATTCCTCGAACTAGGAAGAAGCGGACAACAAACCACAGGTTTGTCATCGCCCCATCTGCATGTGAACCGCATTCCCGAAATTTGACCAATTCCTTGTATATATTCAACGCCCTTTAATAATAATAATAATAAATCGACTTCATTGATGATACCAAAAAAATAATACAAAGATATATTTGAAAATGAAAATAGGTTACAGGAGATTCTGGTACTCCTTGGCGAAGTCTAGCTCAAAGCTACTCTAACTCAACTAACAAGCACCACTCCATAATGCACGCAAACATACAAAAATAAAAGCAATCAACAGTGATGGTACCACGAAATGAGAACCGTAAATGAAATAATAATTTGTGATTATCTTCTAAAGATAGTTGATAAATAATTAAATTTAATTGATCTATTGTCTCAAAAGCAAAAGTTGACATTACTGACTATCATAGATATAATTTTCATATTTGTATTCGAATTTCCTGATATTGAATCTCTTCAATTGCTCTTCGTGGTATTTGCCAGGGGATAAGTTGTTTTCTGATACGTGCCAGTCCATTAATCTACAGTGTAGGGAGTTGAGCCTGGCCTGAACGAATTGTTCCTTCAGATGATTTGTGTTATTATTTTCATCGTTGAAGTGAATTCAATTAATGTTATTTTGCTGCATCTTTTGTTGGAAGTCAAAAAATTTCTCTGACAATAGTCAAATACTGAAGAAAAAATTATTACCGAATTGTTTGTTGTATTGTTTTTTTTCCTTTCTTGCTTCTTCCGTAGGTATTTGTCTATACCTACTATCATGTTGTATAAACTGAAAATAATTGAAATCTATTATGAAAATTGAATCTGATTCGAAATTAAATAGAAACCTATGCCATTTCCACGATTATATGAAAAATCTATTTTTATGATGGTTTTTCATAGTGTTCTGCAAACTGTGTAATTTATGGACAATGGACATGAATTGAATTGAAATTGAATGTCAACAAATTTTTGACTTTTTCCTGTACTTAGTTTTTTATGCAATGACCGACATTGTCTCTTATTGCTTCGTCAGTATGGATAAAATCCAAAAGCATATTACTATTCTCTTCAATTAGTAACATACAAAATATTGACTCATCACAGTTTTATAAATGGATTACACTAATTTTTCCAAATCAGGCATCTGCTGACATGATTCGCAGATATATAAATGATAAATTCAAAATGAAAATGATTTTGTGGCAATACCAATTGTTCAATTTTGATGTAAATGTATACAATCCCTTAGACTGTGTAGAGATGAACCCAATAATCAAGAATAATACTTCAAAATCATTTTTGCATCACCATTGTAACTAAAGAGAAATAATTGCGACAAAAACCGGGTCAAGATCAATATCCCAGCCATAACGCATAACTGAGCTAATTCTGATAGATAATTCAGTGAAAGTAATTTCGGTATAATATGAAAGAAATACCCCTGAGGCAATATCTGATACATATAAAAACCGCCCAGACAGAAAAACAGACACAATTCAATAGAACTACTCAACATGGCATTCAAAGTAAGTACCTTAAAAACATTATAATACAAAATATGAATACAGTCACTATTATTGCAAGTTGACTTTGATGCGATGTCGTGTTGGCAATTTTGAAAACTCTCTAACTACTTCAGATAACTGACTATTCATTATCCACTCATATTGAATATTTTAATTTCAAATTATAATTTGTTGCTCTGTTTCAGTTTGTTGTATTCACCGCATTCGTTGCTGTAGCTCGTGCTGGTGTCCTTTCAGGATACGCCGCCCCCTTGAGCTACTCTGCCCCAGCTGTAGCTAAAGTAGCTTACTCAGCTGCCCCTGCTGTCTCATACTCCAGCATATCAGCACCAGTAGCCTCCTATGCCAAAGTTGCTGCACCAGTCGCCTACTCTGCTCCAGTCTACTCACACGCCGCTCCAGCTCTTTCCTACGCCGCTCCAGCTGTGAAAGTAGCTGCTCCAGTCGCCTATGCCACCCCCATTGCCAAGACCATCGTTGCTGAGGCTCCAGCCAACTATAATTTCGGCTATTCCGTCAATGACCCCCACACCGGAGACAGCAAAACTCAACAAGAATCAAACGACAATGGTGTTGTCCACGGAAGCTACTCCCTCGTTGAAGCTGACGGATCCAGACGTATCGTAGAATACACCGCTGATGACCACAACGGGTTCAACGCTGTTGTACACAAGGAACCAGCTGCAGTAGCTGTCAAAGCTGTAGCTCCGGTGGTTGCCAAAGTAGCTGCTCCTCTTGCTTACGCTGCTCCAGTTGCCCACGCCTATGCTGCCCCATTAGCTCACGGATATGCTTCCCCAGTATACCACCACTAAACCTGAATCGTGTTCTATGTTAATCTTTGTATATAAGCTTATTTATTGCAAATAAAGACTGTTGTGCTGCGACTTCTTGTTTCCATGTTTCAAATATAATTGTGACATTTTTTTTAATCATTGGTTGAACATAAAACGCCTAAGCAGTGATTAAAAATGTTGGTGAAGTTGAAATAAGTTTCTAATCTACTTAAAACGTGTGGTGATATCGTAATTGTCGTGATTATCGAGTTTAGATAATGGGATCTGGTTTCAGGGATGGCCCTGAAACCAAATCAGGCACATTTATGATATTTCTGAAGTATGACAATCTTTCTGGATGGTTATAGTGCTGTAGAAATGGAGATACTGGTAAAACTGTGCAATTTTTCAATTTTTTAGATAAAAGAAAGTAACATTGGATGAAAAATTCTTCTAGTGTATTGGTTGTGCAGAGGAATATGTGAAACAGACAATCTCCAGAAGTCTCCAGAATTAGTTCTGATTTTTGAAAAATTTTTGTACTTTCATATTTCAAATCAGAAACCTTTCGAAGCGGTCACAGAATTATTCATTTGAACAATGCGTATGATATTTATATGAAAGACTCAGTCTTGCAAGAATTATTTCTGTAAAAATCATTCTTATATTAATTTATATAACAACAGTACTACGAATAATCACATAATAACTATGGCACCAACACTAAAGATGATTTTGATGGATGATATGATAATGGAACGACAGCGTCTGACAGATATCATTTATATACAAATTATAGTGAAATCGTTGGTGAAGCTCCAGCGAACTACTTCGGCTATGCCGTCATTGACTCTCACACCGGAAACCGCAAAACCCAACGGCAACTGCATTGTCCACGGGAGCTACTACCTCGATGAAGCCGACGGTTCCAGACGTATCATTGAACACACCGTTGATGACCATAACGGTTTCAATGCTGTTGTACTTAAGAAACCAGCAGCGGAAGCTCTGTCTCCAGTGGTTGATCATCTTCAGCAATGAGACCCATTTCTGGATCAATGGACAACACAATTATCGTATGTGTAACGATAGGTCGATGAATACCAACTTCTTTTGGCCTGAATCTGATGATCTGGACACCAACGACATGTAGTTTCAACAGGACGTCGCTACGAACTACACTACTCATCTCATCGTGGAGGTGAAGTGAACTGGCCACCGAGTTCATGCGATTTGACCCCGTTGGACTTCTTCTAGTGGGGTTTTCTTCAGTTGCGTATGTGTGTGAATTAGCCACAAACCACAGCGGCTCTCAAAGCCCATATAATCAATGCCATCAGTCAAATTCAGCCTGATTTATGCTCCAGCGTCATGGAAAATTGGACGTTTCGAATGAGTTCCACCCAGAGAAGTCGTGGCGGACTTTTGATGAACGATGTTATATTCCACACATGATGGCATCAATAGGTCTTTCAAACGAATAAAAAAATTTCGATGATTCTCACACATACTTTGCGTTACTTGAATTTGAAAAAAAGGAGCACTTAAAGACCCATTCAATGTTGTTCTTTATTGTAGTTTTCTTACTGTCATGTTTTTATTCATTCACATAGTGCTATCACAAATAGAAGCCTCGAGAGGCACACGAGCTCCGGGCAGCTCCTCTATCTTAATTCGTTCCATTTCATTTTACAAATCATGTATATTATAACGAATCTGAAGCCGCCTCTGATCAATAGACCAGCCGACTTATCAAACAAACACATGACCTCACCTCAAAAGAATGCAGTCGGGAATCGCCGGTAAAATTCTAGTACCGAACCGACTACAGAATTGTAGAAAGGACCATTACCTATATAAGCCCGTCTTCCCGACCCAAGAGGGCAGTTCAGAAAGTAAATCGAGCGGGTAAACAAGAAATTCAAATAGTGGCAATAACATAAGCGTATGTTGCTAAGTGTTGTAATAAATAAATTAGTTTGTGATTAGTGAAATATTGTTGGAAATGAATTCGTTTGAGACAGTTAATTCATTAATCTGTCACAATTGGTGTCAGAAGTGGAATGATTGCTAAAGTTGAAGAAGGGCCAGAAAAACATTTTCTACTTGGTGACCAAAAAGCATCCCCGAGACAAATCGTCCTATGAAAATGTCTGGACAAGTCTCACCAGACTGAGGATCACGATGCTCGACCAGAATCTTGTGGACTTGGCAATCCCGAAATTAGCCTCTGGGCTCGACAGGCTGGATTGGAGAATTGTGATATTCAGATCTAGCGGCATCAAAATTTTGGTGTGCGGAAAACATCTTCCACGAACGAGCATGAAGACTGTGGAGTGTTACTTCCATCGAAGTTCACAGTGCAGATATGGACAGTCCTGCAGGTATCGACACACGCCAATGATGAAATTTCGGGGCGAAACGTCTTCAAGAAGGGGGCAATGTAATCAAGCTGAAGCCGCCCCTGACCGATAGGCCAGCCGACTCATCGAACAAACACATGACCTCACCTCAAAAGAATGCAGTCGGGAATCGCCGGTAAAATTCTAGTACCGAACCGACTACAGAATTCTAGGAAGGATCTTTACCGATATAGGCCTGTCTTCCCGACCCAAGAGGGCAGTTCAGAAAGTGAATCGAGCGGCTGAACAAGAAATTCAAATAGTGGAAATGAATTAATTGAGCGTTAGTTGCTAAGTGTTGTAATAAATAAATTAGTTTATGATTCATGAAATATTGTTGGATATAAATGTGTTTAAGACAGTTAATTCATTAATTTGTCACAATATATATTTTTTCATCTATACACCAACAGCGGTACTGTTTTTGAACCTATGTATTCTGTGCATTTTGCGTGGAGAATAAACATTATCATTTTTATTATATGCGAATGAAGACAAAGAAGAAAACAAGTAACGAGAAATACAAAGATCTCATGAATTTGATGCAGTGGGTTCCTGAAGAATATAGAGCCTTCTTTGAAAGGCTTCCACATGTAGAGACGGAAGGAAACTTTCCTGAGGATGACTCCACTGCTCTGGAGTAATGAAATATTATTTTGTAGTTCGTCTATGTTTTTTTATGTTATGTTGTGATAAGAAATAGAAAAAAAAGCTATTACTGTATAACAGTATTTATTGAACTAATAACTTAACTCATTCATATATACAAAGAGACAAACAGGACTCGTTTACATTCAGTAACTTAGTGGTAGTATGCTGGTGCAGCATATCCATGAGCTACTGGGGCAGCATAGGCGTGGGCAACTGGAGCAGCATAAGCGAGAGGGGCAGCTACTTTGGCAACAACTGGAGCTACAGCTTTAACAGCTACTGCACCTGGTTCCTTGTGTACCACAGCGTTGAAGCCATTGTGGTCATCAGCGGTGTATTCCACAATACGTCTGCTACCGTCAGCTTCGATGAGTGAGTAGCTGCCGTGGACAACACCATTGTCGTTGGATTCTTGTTGGCTTTTGCTGTCTCCGGTGTGGGGGTCATTGACGGAATAGCCGAAGTTGTAGTTGGCTGGAGCCTCAGCGACGATGGTCTTGGCGATTGGTGCAGCATAAGCGACTGGGGCAGCTACTTTAAGAGCTGGGGCAGCGTAGGAGAGAGCTGGGGCAGCGTATGAATGAGCTGGGGCGGCATAAGCGAGAGCGGGGGCAGCTAATTTGGCGTATGCTGGAGCAGCGGCATAGGTGGCGACTGGAGCTGATACACTGGAGTATGACACAGCTGGGGCAGCAGAGTACGCCACCTTAGCAACTGGGGCGGCATAAGCCAATGGAGCAGAGTAAGCTGGGAGTACACCAGCACGGGCTACTGCGATGAGGGCGGCGAATGCGATGAACTGTAACAAAAATAAAGATTGTTTTAACGAAAACAGCAACTACAATGGCAAAAATAGCTACACTGACACCAATAAACTTTTGTCACCCCGTGAATATACTAATTTTTCATCTATCGTCGATGGAAAACTTACTTTGAAAGCCATGTTTGCTGATTGGATTTGACTGTGATCAATGTCCGATCTGACTAGTTTATATATGAATTGGGTTTCGAATGCAGCGAGGGCGTACTGTTCCCCCGAAATCACTTTCACCGAGTCCAGCGTCAGAAGAAGTGGAATGGATGCAGATACATTGTTCGAGGGCTTTGACATTGACCTATTGATTGTTTTAGCGACTGTTAATAATGAGCCGGTTACGTGTAGGTAAACCTGTCCATCGCAAGTTGGCTTTTAAGGTACGGGACAGGAGTATTTTTAGGTAACGACTACCAAATTCACTTGAAATGTATTCGAATTTGTTTTAATTGAAGAATTTTCGAGGTAAATTAGATGAACAGAATTTGAATTTATGGGGTACAGTAGATTTGTAATCAAAAAGGATGTACCAAAAGCTATGTCTTGAATTCAGTTTTTCTTTAGCCCTCGTGGTAGAAAAGTTTCACCTCTGCTACAGAATACCATATCTTGGAAAGAAAAAGAAAAGTTGGCAGTACCGGTGTTTGGGAACCGTATTGACTTTTGAATTCATTTTATTCCAGAAGTTTCAGATCCCTCTTTCATAAATTCGACTAGTGCAACAACTGCTTTTTTCAAGGACAAAACGAAAGCACTACAGGAAAATCTCGCTCTAAGAGCGGTGCCTGTACGAAAGTAGCGATTCACGTTGGAATCAGGAAGTTTACTGTACATAAACGGGGTTTTCCGAATGAAAGAGCTCACAAATAGTGAAGTTAGGAATCTTTCACATTTTTTGATTTATGGTATACCACTGTTTCATTCAATAATTGTTTACTTCTTTTCGAAAAGAATTTATAATTATACAAATTTTTCATGGAGGGTGATAGTTCATTACACACACCATTATGAAACACCATTGATGACAGATGATAATAATAATAATAATAGTTTATTAGTTCTTTAGATTATGTCTAGCATGATATAGAACAAGTCAGTATGGTACAGTATCAGTATAAAAATATTTATAAGATAAATTAATATTGAAAACATTTTACACAAATTGTAGTCAATATAATTAATATAGTAATTGATGT